AATTAAAATTTATTAATATGTTTATTTTTGAAGTAAATGAAATTACATAACTAATTAGATCGTAAGCTTTGTACAATTTGGTTTTTGATTGAGTCACGAATGCGATTCATTTGTGTGGTAGATGTTAAACTTGATGAGAATGCCTCATCAGCTACATAATTATTGTCTTCATCAATTATACTTCCATGTTCTGCTTGTATAAAATAGTCATCAGTGGGAGAATTTTGCCTGATAAAATTATATACAACCATTATTGCACAAACTATGCGGACTTGTGTTTGAAACTTGAATTTGGGCATATTTTTTTAAGATTGCAAACCTATTCTTTCAAACCCCAAAAATTCTTTCAACAGTGCATTTCAAACTTAAATGATAATAATTAAAAGCCTCATTCTTATTTCTAAATCTTGGTTGATGACTAAAGTCTAGAAGGTGATAGCACTCATGCCTATATAGGCCAAGGTATCCTACTTGTGTTGGATAACTAGCATCTATCAAATAATATTTTCCTAAAAAAACATGAAATTATGCTGATGCAAAAATAATACAATTGAAAAGTGAGTTAAAAATAATTGATTTGAAATTTAAAGAAATATACCTTGAGGTGTATAGGGGAAATTCATGAAGGGAGTTGAGATAGCAAAATAGAACACATGAGCATTATGTGCACTACCTTCCCATCCTGCCAGCATGAAAGTGAAGCACTTATCCCAATCACATGCGGCCATGACATTTTGACTTGGAAATCCCTTTCTCCCAATATGTTTGTCTTGCTTAGCATGACTAACCTTACAATGTGTATGAGTGCCATCAAGTGCTCCTATTACATCTCTAAAAAATAAGAAGTATCATGAATCATTTGCTATTTTTAGGTGATAATAAGAAAATGTAAGATCGCATGACTTCATATTTTCCCTAGATAAATTGAGGCAAGCATTCAACACTTTATGAAAATGCTGATTGACAATTTCTCCTGAACATTGAAACCTTTCTTTAATCATCCTATTACACTATCCATGTGCAATTATATTCAAGAACATGACAGCAGATTTATGGGCGCCTATGTACTTAGAATTTTGTAACCCATGTTCAACCAATTTAGAACATAACTGGTGAAAGTCTCTGTTTCCATTTAAAATATATCCTTAAACCGTCCTTCATGCTTGTGCAAAAGTTCTTATACCCATAAATAACTTGTTTGTTCACTAATTCTACATGACTATTTACACACAAAGAGTGTCTTATACTGACCCATTAATACAGTTAACTCTGGTAATTGTGTTATGTGTTCATGTAAAAAAGGAAGTAATTAAAACCATTCATCTTTATTATTAAATCCTGTATCGTCCCAACCCTTTTCCCAACCATCTATCAAATCTAACATGGATTATGTAACCTTTGAGTGGCTAAATACTAAGTGTGAGTATTTGAAATAAGAAACAAATATTATTTTCACAAAAAAAAGACAATACACAAATAGTAATTAAACTTTAACATAGTCATTAAACACATACTCATTAAACACAGTCATTAAACAAATTAAATTAGAAAAGATAAGTCACAATAGGTCTCTTGACACAACTCAAAAATTCTTCGATTTTGCATAAGGCAACAAGTTGTTAGCATTGTACTTCAACCACGCTACTAATACCTCCTGATTTCATCTCAGGCCAGCATAAATATCCTTGAAAGTCTTGTTTGCCAAAAGATTACAACAAAGGACACAAAGGTGAGTATTATTAGCAATTTCCTCAATACTTAGCAGATCAGTGGGAAACTCAGTAGTTATATCACTATTGGACATTTTGCTTACTGCTTCCGCTATATCCTTTGAAGCAATAGCTATAGTACTTAATGCATCTGTTGCTCTTTTTGATTGTAGAAGTTTTTTGCTTTTTGTACTTTTTTGACCCTTCACCTCTTTTTCTCTTCCATTGACTTCCTGAACCACTAGGTATAGTAGGTGTAGTGTTTGATGTATTTGCAATTAAGTTTATGCCTAAAAGCTTGTTTTTACTATCCCTTGAACCTTCTTCCCAATCCTTCATTGGTCAGTACTCCTTGGCTTGATCAACCCTTTATGGCTCCAGCTAGGTCAAAGATGGTGCCCACATATCCTCTCTAGATGCCATAGTATCTTTGAATATAGTGTCTAATTCAATTCGAAACTTTAACCTATTGTGCCTAAACTTTTCGTATGCTAGATTTTCCTGCAAGGTCACAAGTAAACTGAAATTAAATCATGTCCAATATGATAATACTTCTTATAAGTTAACATAAACTAGTTCATACTCCTTTTTTTCTTTCCCACTACTCATCTGGTGCCACCATTTTATTTCTTGCAGGGTCCCACCCCACACCAGTCTCTTTAGTGATTAATGATTCCAATGCCTTCCACTCTTTTTTCAAGTTATCTAACCTATTTTTTAGCTGTTTTTTTTTTATAATATCCTCTCCTTGTCTTTTCATTGAATGTTTTTTTCAATGTTGTTCTAGCCTTGCTTTGTAAATGAATATCTTTGATGATATTTGCTATAAATTTGGTCAACGCATGCTTTGAGAAAAACCACTGTGGTGCTCACATTTCAATATCCTTTGCCTTTATTGTTACTCATAGTTCTATGTGAAATTATATATGTATCAAACTTAGAAGCAAAGCTTATGAGACACACAAAACTATATTCCTAACAATCCGGTATTTGCAGTTCAAAAATCAACAAATATCCATATTCATAGACACAAAAAATCACAGAGTGAAGTTTATAAATAGCTACAATTTCAACATACTCTCCTTGATCTCAGTTTCATTTTTCTTTTCCAAAAAAAAAAGCTATTATTTGATCTAAAAGTTCCTCTAAAAATGCATGCTCACACATCCGCATGCATCTATGTGTCCGCACATAATCATTTGAACATAGTACATAAATTTTTAAAGTATTAATGGCAAAAACATAACTAACATTTCAAGTTTTACACAATATTGCAGATTACATATCAATGCCATTTCAAGTATTCATAAATTTTATAATATGAAAAAAAATTATATTCAGCTTGTATAACTTAGGAAAAATCCCCAAAAAATGACCGTTAAATTTTAAAATTCCAAATCAGTATCGGTCACTACACTAATAAAGAAAATGACTACACTTGAAAAGCAAATGACAACACATTTTTGTAGTAATTCCTGATTTGAAATTTTGAAATTCAATAATCATTTTTTTTGGGATTTTCCCTATAACTTATAAACAGAAAATTAAATAATCATTTGGGATTTTAATTAAGAAACTTAAACTTAAACAGAGGATGGAAAAGAAGGAGGAACACCAAACAGAAAAGGGGGAAAAGGAAAGGCATTGGCACAATGTTGTTGCGCAAAAAGGCATATGACAATCCATGTGTATTTAATATTCATTTTCTCTAGTGTTCACAATAGCTTTCAAAAAATTTATCATCCATACAGCAAGACAGAGCAAATTGTCCATTCAAAGTAAATGCAATTTAGAAAATTGCATGTTTATAAATTAAAATCTGTTGCTTCCGTAATACATAATGGAGATAAGCTGTAATAATAGAATCAAGCAATGCATCCTTGGGATCAAATGAATGTTAACAAGCAGTTCATTTACGGAACTCACTATGAACGAAAAGTCCAGGTCACATCCAATCCAATGATCCTACTTTTCGATTCCAGATAGGCAACTTCAAACAAGTAACATATTACACTTTTCCTCCGCAGCAGTACCAAGTAATCTTTAAAAAAAAAATTATGATTAAGACACAATCCAATGACGCCCCATTGCAGTTAGATTCATAGATAGTAATTATATCCTTAATTAGCCACTGCATCCCTTTTAACAACACCATTGATGGAAATTCCTAAGACAACTAGTTCTTGGCAACCTTACGCTAAGATGTAGAGACAAAACATAAGAAATCAATATATAAAAGCAGTGATAAATTACATCTTTTAAATTCAATTTTCATCAACTACAACCAAAAGTCTTAAGAATATATTTCAGGCTACCCTACCCCTTTTGTTCCCTCTCCCAAAACGATCTTATGTTATTCACTTGTTGATGTTCATAAATACTCTGAAGCAAGCTCACATCAACTATGACAAATGCTGTTCAGGACATCCAGATCAAGAAGAGTTTTGCAGGTTAAACATCATCCTAGGCAACAAGCATATCATCATAACTAAATTATTAAAAGTAGAATCATCAAAATAGCATAAATGAGTGGGGAGAAGACGGTTTTAGCAGAGGAGCTCACCACGATTTTAGAACATTTCCCAAATATAATGTTGAAAGTACAGCACAAGAGCTCACCCAAGAAAGAAAGCAGCAAATGATAAAAATAAACTCTAGAAATCACACATACAGTTAGAAAAAAAAAACTAGAATCACAAAGGGCTAGAAGTGAAATCAAGCAGTTGAAGAACAGAGGTCCAGATCTAGTCAAATTTAAGTACGTGCCTGTAATGGAAACTTCAAACCGAACAACACACCATGTTTATGCTTCTCTGAGTTTGTTGAGCAAGCTATGATGGACTGGAGCAAAGCATGATAGACTAGATCTACTTGGCCAGATCAGCCACTTGCCACTTGCCCCTTGCATGCACCAGATCAGTGAGAGAAAGAGAGAAGACCGTTGAACTCGGTTGAAGAATTGCAAAGACTGGCGACTCAACTAGAGAAAAGGATGTGTTTTTTGGGATCTACTCCTCCTCCTGTCATTGTTATAGAATGCCTATTAGAAGCTATTCACCCCTTGCATGCACTAGATTAGCGAGAGAAAGGGAGAAGATGGTTGAACTCGGTTGAACAATGGGGAAGATATGTGACTCAACCGGAGAAAATGAGAAGACGTAGCAACGGCGTGAGAAAAAATGGAGACGTGTTCGGTGTGAGAGAGAAGGGCTTATCGTTTTATTTTTATTTTATTTTTAATATATAGTCGGGCAAGTTACAAACTTGACAAAAGAAGCTAAGCTAAGATGCTTAAGAAAACATCAAGTCTGCTTGAAGGTGGTTGCTACATCCAGGATGCGGTTCCAAAAGTAGTGTCATATCTTCCTCCCGTTGATGAGCGTCCTTTGCCACAAAATCTGCGCAGTATAAGGTTTCCCGTGGTGCATGTCGAACCTCAATGTCCCAATCAGAGTAGATTAACTTCCTGCCTTCTTCAATTGCAAGTTTAAATGGATGATCCGTTCCACAATCCGCCATTAACAAGCAAATCACTTCAAGAGAATCAGTATATACCAAGATTTTGTTGAAACCTTGTTGTTTACAAATGCGGAGTCCTGTTACAACTCCTAAAAGCTCTGCACACATTTGTGGTATACATCCAAGTGTTCTTTGAAATCCTAAGACCCAATCTCCTTTTGGATTCCTGATTAATCCGCCACAGGAAGCATGCCTTTGAAGATTCATAGAACCATCTGTATCTAGACGAAGGTAGCCCTCTGGTGGTGGATACCATTTCGTTATCTCTTCACCTATTTGGAAGATCTGATGTCTGAATTTTCCATGGGTTGTTGATTCCATAAGTTGATGAAGGCCTAAATGAATAATCTCTGATTCTTGAGCTCTTACGCCTTCCATGACACCCTTGCATCTATTTTTCCATAAGATCCAGCATATAAAACTAAAAACTTTTATCCAAGGCCATCGTGAGACCTTTGCATTGCCAATGTCCTTTGTCATGTTTCTCTAAAGCCAAACCTGCAAGTTAGAACAAAAGAAATTTGCAAGATGGTTAGGATTAATAATATTTATCCACACGTTTCGGGCCACTTCACAGTCTCGTAGAATATGTAAGATATTCTCCTCTCTATAACACTTAAAGGGGCAGCTCTCACTGACATTTACCCTCTTTTGGCTTTGAGTGAGTTAGTGGCTAAATCTCTCATGGAAGACCTGCCAGAGGAAGAATTTAATTTTCTTAGGAATCGGAATTTTCCACATTTTCTTCCACGGGGCTGTGTGAGCTTGATCATGCTGTTGAAAAACCATTTGGTATGCTGATCTGACATTAAATTTCCAATCACTGCTACTTCTCCAGCAAAAATAGTCATCTTCATTTCCATTGGGGGGGTTTATCTTCAGTATGATGTTGATAATCCACTGAGACAGAAAGTTCCTCCATTAGAGAAGGGCTTATCTGGTAGGCATATTTTTGAATGAGCATTTAATGCTATTTTAACGATAAATGGGCATTTAAATGCACCCACCATAACTTTGAGTTACATCGTAACCAATGTTTTTTCCAAAAGTTAGTTAGAGTTTAAGCCCATCCAAACAACAAGCCAATAACTTTAAATCAACTCCAAACCTCATTTTCACACTTTCCTAACCACTTTTTCCAATCCCAATGGCAATCCAAACACCTCCTTAATTTCAATTTGCTTAATTTCAATAGTTGAATAAAAAAAATCATGAATAGGATGTCTCATTTCCATCCATCCTGGCCAGGACCAAGACACTGTTAGGGTGAAATGGGATGGGGGATAGAAACTCCATCCTATCCCTGTTCACAAAAATGAGATTGAGGTGGATGTATATTAGTCTCGTCCTCTTTTGTGAGTACTTCTAAATATAGTATAACAAAAATAATTTTGTTTTCTCTTTTCAAAAATTCATTGTTACTAATCCCTTCAATGAAAAAAACATTGGTTTTGTTGATTCTACCAATAATTCAATCAAATAACAAGAATAAATTGTACCATAACCATTTTTAAGGTAAAAGTTTTCACTTTATCAAAAAAAAAAAACAAGCTCGATAGTACAAGAAAGAAAAATAAGATTCACCTTTCTTTAGAAGAAAAGCATATTCCATTCATATAAATTACTACCTTCGGTTCTTAAAATAAGAGTCAGTTAACTAATTTGAGTAGATTAAGAAAATTAGTTAAATTAGTTATTTAGATGTTATCTTCCCTAAAATATTTTATTAATCATGTGTATTAGTTAGAAATACCCTTGGTATTCAGCTCTCATCATCACAGTGTTAGGCAAGAAGGATAATGTTTACATGTTGAAAGGATTCCTGTGTAAAATATAGGGTATTGATAGTGGCAGCTTCACCCAAGAACGGGGGTGAATCGGTGAGTTAAAATTTTTTTTTTAACATAATGAAACAGTGAAGTAAGTAAAAGAGAGAAGATTGAGTTAGGAAGATTTCACCGCAAAACGAAGACAGGATTTATACTGGTTTGGTCTTAATCACTTGACCTACATCCAGTCCTCATAACACCTATGAGATTTTCACTATGTTTTCAAGATTAAATGGGCTCTTGGCGCCTCAGTACAGTAATTGATTTTCTCAATCACTCCCCCTTACTACCCGTAAGGTTACAATCCCCTCAAGAGTCCACACTCTTGAGTTACTCTTAGAAATGAGTAAAAGAAGATGTATCAAATTCTCTTACAGAGTAAATGAATACTAAACACTGAAGCTCAGTAAAAATAGAGTATTGAATACAATAGTAAATTTCTCGATAGATAGTAGCTCGCGTATTCAATTCTTCATTCAATGCCCTTTGCTCCTTTTATAGTTAGAGAAGTTTAATTAACCGTTAGACTGAAGAGCTTCCAGTCGTTGGAAGATCTGTTGCATGTGTTCAGCAGTTACGATAGTAGTTTGCCATTAATGCTTCTGACACTGTAGGTTAAAGGCTACTAAATAACCGTTGAGCTTCATAATCTGTAATAGCCTTTGAAACAAGTAAGTCCTCTTTTTGAAGAAAATTTGTGAAGATAATAGAACAAGGAATGATCATTGATAGTTATATAATAGTTAGGAAAGTATAGAATCAATCATCATGTACTTTAAATATAATCTGAACTTACTTGATCGATGTCTTGATCGATCAAGTTATCGATTAAATATAAGGAAAAAGCTTGAGTCGGTCATGTACATTTATCGATTAGATTATGGATCAACAAATGATCAAAAAGGTGATCGATGAAAGGTGAGAAATGAATACAGTGACCTCTGGAAAGATTATGCAAGAATAAACTTTAAAGTTAACTTTGCCTTTGACTCCTCTCAATAGAGAGTTAAGTCTAACAGGAATGCTGAGAAAAGCTTGAAGATAAAGAGATAGAAGATTTTGAAAGACATCGTGTATAGTTGTTATGAAATGAAGTGGTTCAATGATCAAAAACTATTTGATCGATCATATTATCGATAAAACTAAGTATAAGATAAATATATTTGTCAAAGGTATTGATTGAATACTTTATCGATAAACGGTTGACAGGTGAAATGATCAATAAAAAGTTTCAAAGAGATTTTCACAGTGAAATTACCGAATATATGATGATCGAGTAAATGATTGATGTATAATTAATCGATTAAGTGATCAATAAATGATTGCTGACATTTTATTTCAGAAAAGACTAGAAAAAACTTTGATCGATCATGTTATGTGAAAACAGAAGTTGTAGATGATTGGATGATCGATCATTTTATCGATAAATCAATGATCGATTAGGTGATCTAAAAAATACTTAAAATAAACAAGTGCAGTGAAGGTGATGATGATTGATCATTTAATCAATAAAAGACTGATATTAATTGATCAATTAAAGATCTTGACAAACTACTTAAACAGAGCACATTATCGATAAAGCAGTAAGTTATCATGTAGTGTTAGAACATGTTATTGATTAATGTCTGATTGATAAAGTGATCAATAAATGGTAAATTAATCAGGACAAAAAAGTAAGTATGGAGGCTTTAGCATTTATTTGTCTTTTTATCGATAACTTGTTAATCGATCAGGTGATCGATAAATGCTTATTAAAATTGTATGCCTTTTTCTGACGGTTGATCGAACATTAAATTATCGATCAATTGATCGATAATTTTCTACAAGCTTGTACATTAAATAGTGTTAACGATGACCGATCAATTGATCGATCAACTCATAAATATTGAATTATCTATCATGTTATCGATCAACCTTAGTGCTAAGTTACTAACATACAGAGACGTTTTATCTGATACATGATCGATTAACCTTTGATCGATTAGGTGATTGATCAACTTACTAAACCAGAAATAACTTAAATTGTTATCATCAAAACCCTAAATCTAACATTCTCCCCCTTTTTGATGATGACAAAACATAGGTGAAAAAATTAATTAAAGAACATCATATTTTATCAGGAAAAAAATTTGACAAAGCCAGAATTTAGTAGAAATGCACAAGTTGGAAAGAGAACAGATAGAAACAGCATTCATTCAAATTAAACTGCAACAGCAATCAATAATCCCAGAGTTCAAATCACATAATCACAACAGTAAGCACAAAAAAAATAGAAAGACTAAACAGAATAGAAAGACTAAATAGAATTCTTCTCCTCCTTTTTATCAGCATTAGAGGATGGGGAAGGAGAAGGGATAGTAGGCAAAGTAAAAGGAATAGGGAGAGAGGGAAGTTGAGAAATAGGAGAAAGAACTTGAGAGATAGGTGGAAGAGTAAGGGAAGGAGTAGGTTGAGGAATTGGAATAATGGCTAGATGGTAGAAGGAGGAGTAGGAGAAGATGTGGGAGGGATAGAAGGAGAAACAGATATAGAAGAGGTAGGGATAGGTAAAGAAGGTAGTTCAGGATCAGGGTGAGGAGGAGAGGGTGGATGGGAAAGAAGGTCCTCAAAACTAAAAGAAGTGCTAGGTGCAGAGAAGTTGGTGTAGAGAGAGGTGACCAGTCCTTTGAGTTCCTTGATCTCCTTGTCCACAGAGTAAAATCTTTGTGAAACTTCCCTTTCCAGAACTGCCATGGCTTGACGGTAGAGATATAATATTGTGTAAAGGCCCTCAAATTTCTTATTTGAATTTTTCCCATAGTCCTTGGCCATGACATACACTCTCCTCTCAAGTCTTGGAGTTCTGACTGGAACATTTCCTTAATTGACCTTTCCATAAATAATGGTCTAGAGGTGTGAGAGGGAGTTGTAGTGGATTATGATTCATCTTGGGGTCTAGAGGTGCTAGCAACTGGTTGTTTCCCCTTTTCTTTGTGTACTAGTTTCTGTGAGGCTCTAAAGGGCATAGAGATCTTCATCTTATTAGTTGATTGATGCCAAAAGTGGGGACCTTTACTTTAACTTCTCTAGGCTTAAAGGGGTGCAATATTATGCACTTAGAGTAGATAGGTAGCCAACTGAGGATATGGAATAGGAGTAGATTTGGACTTGTTGAGGACAAAGTCCTTCATCTCACTGTAAATCAAGGCTCCTATATTGATCTTTTCTCTACTGATGATTCTGGCCAACAGGAGATAGTTATCTTGGTTTAAGTGTGAAAAACTGCTAGATTTGTTGACCATGATCCTTGAGTGGATGTAGTGAATTATTCTGTAATAATCACACATTTGCTTGGGGGAAAAACTTAGCTCATTAGGATAATTATCACTTTGCATCAAGATCTTATAAGCGTTAATGTTGTTCATGTCACCTCCTCTCACATGGTCCTGAGTTCCCAGTAATTCATTCAACTTAGCAAGAGTGAGAATGAAGGATCTTCCTCTAAGTTTGATTTTGAGATACTCATTTATCAGATTGTCTTGGTCATCAAACTCTTCAATCGTTCCATAT